TCCCTGAAATAAACTTTTTACTGCTGTCAAAATGAAGTTTTGTGTCATTTGTTGAATGTTAGATATTAATCATCAAAGTGCCTATCTGTCTGAAACAAACGTTCTCGTGCCACCAGCTTCAAATTATGAGTATGTCGTTGAATGTGAGATTTTGATGTTCCAAAGTGCTCAGCTCTCTGAAACAAGCATTCTAGTGCCACCAGTTTCAAATTATGAGTATTTCTGTGAATGTGAGATTTCGATGTACCAAATTGCTTGTCTCTCTGAAACAAGCATTTTAGTACAACCAGCATCAAAGTTCTGTCAGTTGTTGAATATGAGATTCAGATGCTCGAAAGTGCTTACCATGCTGAAATAATCGTTTTACAGCTTCAAGCTTAAAGAGTTGAGTCATTTGGAGATAATGGGAGTTTGCTGTTCTCATGTGCTTATCACTGTAATAAGATTTTTGCTGCTGCCAGTTTAAAGTTAATAGTCATTTGGAGATTGTTTGATTTTGAAACTCCACGGTGCAGATCTCCCTGCATTAAGCTGTTCAATGCTGCTAGTTTGAAGTTTTCAATCATTTGTAGACAGTGAGATTTTGAAGTGGAAATGTTTTTAACAAGCTTAAATAAACATTTTATTACTACCTGCAACAGATTTTGACTCATCAGTTGAATATCAGATTTTCATGTATACATGTGCTTATCTCAAAGAAATAAGCGTTTTTCTGCACCCAACTTCAATTTTAAGGCATTTGTTGAATGTGAGATTTTCATGTTCCAAAGTGCTTAGCTCTCTGAAACAAGCATTCTCGTGCCACCAGTTTCAAATTATGAGTGTTTCTGTGAATGTGAGATTTCGATGTACCAAATTGCTTGTCTCAGTGAAACAAGCATTTTAGTACAACCAGCATCAAAGTTCAGTCAGTTGTTGAATATGAGATTCAGATACCCCAAAGTGCTTACCATGCTGAAATAATCGTTTTACAGCTTCAAGCTTAAAGAGTTGAGTCATTTGTAGATTATGGGAGTTTGATGTTCTGATGTGCTTATCAGTGTATTAAGATTTTTGCTGCTGCCAGTTAAAAGTTAATAGTCATTTGGAGATTGTTTGGTTTTGATACTCCACGGTGCCGATCTCCCTGCATTAAGCTATTCAATGCTGCTCGTTTGAAGTTTTCAGTCATTTGTAGACAGTGAGACTTTCGGGTGCAAATGTTTTTAACAAGCTGAAATAAGCATTTTAGTACTACCTGCAACAGATCTTGAGTCATATGTTGAATGTGAGATTTTAATGTATACATGTGCTTATCTCAATGAAATAAGCGTTTTTCTGCAACCAACTTCAATTTTAAGGCATTTGTTGAATGTGAGATTTTCATGTTCCAAAGTGCTTTTGTCTCTGAAACAAGCATTTTAGTGTCACAGGTATCGAAATGTGCGTCATTTGGTAAGTGTGAGATTTTGTTGTGCGCATGTGCTTATCTCACTGAAAGAAGCTTTTTACTGCTATCTGCACGAAGTTTTGTGTCAATGGGTGAATTTTAGATTTTAATCTTCCAAAGCGTTTATCTCACTGAAACAAGCATTCGAGTGCCACCAGCTTCAAATTATGAGTATTTCGGTGAATGTGAGATTTTGATGTTCCAAAGTGCTTTTATCTCTCTGAAACTCGCATTCTGGTGCCACCAGTTTCAAATTATAAGTCTTTCTGTGAATGTGAGATTTTGATGTACCAAATTGCTTATCTCACTGAAAGAAGCATTTTAGTACAACCAGCAGCAAAGTTGAGTCAGTTGTTGAATATGAGATTCAGATGTTCCAAAGTGCTTACCATGCTGAAATAATCGTTTCACAGCTTCAAGCTTAAAGAGTTGAGTCATTTGGAGATTATTGGAGTTTGATGTTCTCATGTGCTTATCACTGTAGTAAGATGTTTGCTGCTGCCAGCTTAAAGTTAATAGTCATTTGGAGAATGTTTGATTTTAAAACTCCACGGTGCAGATCTCACTGCATTAACCTATTCAATGCTGCCAGTATGAAGTTTTCATCCCTTTTTTGAAAGTGAGATTTGAATGTACAAATGTGTTAATCAAGGTGAAATAAGCATTTTAGTACTACTTGCAGCAGATTTTGAGTCATTTGGTGAATGTGAGATTTTCATGTATACATGTTCTAATCTCACTGAGATAAGCGTTTTTCTGCAAGAAACATCAATTTTAAGGCATTTCCAACTTCCGGCATGAAGTTTTGTGTCATTTGGTGAATTTTAGATTTTAATCTTCCAAAGCTCTTATATCACTGAAACAAGCATTGTAATGCCACCAGCTTCAAATTATGAGTCTTTTGGTGATTGTGAGATTTGGATTTTCTAATGTGCTTATCTCTCTGAAACAAGCATTCTAGAATAACTGGCATCAAAATTTGAGCCATATGGTGAATATGAGATTTTTGAGTTCCAAAGGTCTTATCTGACTGAAATGAAAATTTTCCTGCAAACAGCATCAAAGTTGTCGTCAGTTGGTGAATATGAGAATCAGACTTCCAACAGTCCTGACCTCTCTGACATAATCGTTTTACATCATTAAGCATAAAGATTTTTGTCATTTGGCGAATACATGATTTTAATGTTCTCATGAGCTTATCTCTCTGTATTAAGCTATTCAATGCTGCCAGCATGAAGTTTTCAGTCATTTGTAGAAAGTGAGATTTTAATGTGCAAATGTGCTTATCAAGCTGAAATAAGCGTTTTAGTACTACCTGCATCAGATTTTGAGTCATTTGGTGAATGTGAGATTTTGATGTATACATGCGCTTATCTCAGTGAGATAAGCGTTTTTCTGCAACCATCTTCAATTTTAAGGCATTTGTTGAATGTGAGATTTTCATGTACCAAAGTGCTTATCTCACTGAATCAAGCATTTTAGTGTCACAATAATCGAAATGTGCGCCATTTGGTATGTGTGAGATTTTGTTGTACACATGTGCTTATCTCACTGAAATAAGCGTTTTACTGCTTCCAGCATGAAGTTTTGTGTCATTTGGTGAATGTTAGATTTTAATCTTCCAAAGCGCTTATCTCTCTGAAAGAAGCAACCAACTTCAAATTATGAGTCTTTCAATGAATGTGAGATTTTGATGTTCCAAAGTGCTTATCTCACTGAAGTAAGCATTTTAATGCAACATGCATCAAATTTTGAGTCATTTAGCGAGTGTGAAATTTTGATATAGAAATGTGCTTATCTCACTGATTTCATTTTGATGTTTCACAGTGTTTTTCTCACTGAACTAAGTGTTTTTGTGTAACAAGCATGAAATTTTGAGTCATTTGGTGAATGACTGTTTTGTTAAATCAAAACTGGTGTAACATGGTGTTGTTACACTATGTAGGTTTATCCCTGTATGGATTGTTAGTGACAGATTTATTAGCTTTAATAAATGCGACTGTTATTTCCAGTGTAGCAGTGCTTTATTGCCCTGTGGATTGATTCCTGGTGTAACACAGTCTTACCAAACTGTGTGTTACACTGTAGATCAATAAGATAAATTAATTGATGTGCTGCTTTCAAAAATTGTCTAGCCAACTCATTTAACCTTTTCAAATCACAACATCCAAATGTGTGGTCTCTGAACTGTGACTCATCAATTTCTCCTTAATTCATTTCAGTGGTCCCCTAACTTCATGCCCAAAATCTAATTCAATTTGATGAACTTCTGCCCATTTCTCATTTGCCTGAATAGGTGATGGTCTCCATTTTCTCCAAAGATGTCATTTTTAAGATAGTAACATTCTGGCATTCTTCTTCAGCATATGGTTTTAGCTTTAATTTTTCATCATTGTGTTGTGATTCAGCTAATTTCTCTGAACTAAAAAATTGTCTTCCTTATCTCACAACTTCCTTATCTTTTATTCTTTGATTTCTCTGCCTATCAATTGGAATCAGGAGTAAACATTGGAGTCATATCTAGTACCAAAGTTGTAGTTGTTGGAGAGCAACAGAGAAGGCTGGGGGAGATTTAACTTAGGTGCATAAAATTAATGGGTAGGGAGGATTTATCCCAGAGCAGAGAGTTCAATAACCAAATGGCATTAATGTAATGTGATTGTCAGGTTTATCCAATAGTTTAGTTGACATTCTTCACCTGGGGATGAATGGAATTTTGAAAACTGGTGGAAGATGCACAAACCATTATCGCTGAAACCAGGATGACAATGTAAACAATGCTAATTTCTGAAAGCTAGGAAATTTTCAATTCTGAAAATAGCGGCTGGGAACTTCTATAAAGATTTCCCTGGAATTTCTATGCACTCAGGTGCTACAACTTACATGGCAAATTACATAGCAAAACAGAAGATGCTGTCGAATCCCTACAGTGTAGAAACACTGTAGTGTATTTGGCCCAACAAGTCTATGCCAACTCTCTGAAGAGCATCCCCCTGTAACCCCTGCATTTCCCACGGCTAGCACCTGACCTAATTATCCCTGAACGATAATTTAGTATGGCAAATCTACCTAACCTTTGGACTGTGGAAGGAAACTGGAGCATGCAGTGGAAACCCACGCAGACACAGGGAGAACGTGCAAACTCCACACAGCCCAGGGGTGGAATTGAACATGGGTCCCTGGCTGTGTGAGGCAGCACTGAGCCACTGTGCCTCCAATAAAATTCCCAATACAGCATACATAGCCTATGTTTTCAGGTTTAGAGCTACTGTGGAGCATTATCAATAATTTGAGCCTCTTAAAATGTATACAAAAATATTTTCAGAAATATTTCTAATGCTTACAGCACCAGGGACCTAGGTTCGATTCCAACCTCTGGCGTCTGCATGGAGTTTGCATGTTCTCCCAGTGTCTGCGTGGGTTTCTGCCACAGTCCAAAGATGTTAGGTTAGGTGGATTGGCCACGGGAAGTGTAGGGTAAAAGGGATAGGGTAGGGTGATGGGTCAGTAGCCTGTTTCCACACTCTTGAGATTCTATGATTCCCCAACTTACTGTTTCACAGATTCATACTGAGATGGCAAAATGTAAAATCTTTATTTGCCTCTAGTGTCAAGCAAATTTCTACGTATGCAACATTCAGAAATTACACAGAACAATCTATATTTGACAGACAGCTGTTTACCAAAAGGACTTATGATGACCACAACATTACAGTTTTAAGAAAAGGAGAAACTTTTAGTCAGTACAAACCAAAACATCCATCCGTTGATTGCACTGTCATAGGGCAGAGAATCTTCCCACAAACCATATTTTCCTAACTAAATCCTGACAATCATAGAGCCTTGCAGCTGCTATACCCATGATCATGGGTATAATAGCCTGTTCACAAAACATAAATTATTGAATAGGAAGTCAATCCAGAGAAACTCAGGAAATCTAAAAATGCTATTGGACTTTAATGGAACACTTGTCATATTTAACTGGTTGACAGAGATGTTAACAATTTGATATAGGCTGGTTTAGTATCAATACATCTGTTGACAAAGAGGGATTGCTTATTTCTATGCATAATAAACTAATATTGAAGGCATCATTATTTTTATGAATTAGTCGTTACTTGGACCCACTTATGGCATTAATTTCGGCACTTAGCTCTGAGCAGCCTTTCCTCATGTGACGAACAATATGTAACCAAAATGGTTAATAATTAACCCTCTTCCTAGAAACGAGGAAGGCACAAATAATTCTAGGGATTTGAAAAGTTAACTAGGAAAATCTTTGATTTTGGAATCCATAAGCAAAAGTCAATCATGAAAGCAAAAACGTAAATAGGGTAAAAATTACAGTTCCCTGCAGCTATTAGATTCTTTTTTGCTAAACCGTTTTGTAGCTATAGAAAAACCTTTTTGTTAAAGTAACATTAGCAACCTCTAGCACTAAGAAATTAGGAAATTCCAATTAGTATCATTAGCATGGTTATATCAGTCAAAAGTTCTTGGTCTTTTTATCTGCAAATTTGTTTTACATTTAATTGTGAATGTTATATAGTGTATCAAACAGAATTGTTGCCACCCAAGTTGTTGCAGCTTAAGTGCAGTGGAAAACTCTGTACCAGGAATCTTTTTTTAAAAAAAAAGTAATCTTTATGCTTCACCAACCCAAATTATTGTGTTCCCTTTATCCACCTCAGTGATCTCACAGTTTAACTTACTAAGCCTTCCATCTAAAATAAACAAAGATTCTTTTGAGGGTGTCATGAGATACTGGCCAAACAGGTCACTGTCCACAATCACTCGGTTTTTACTATTCCATGGCCACTCTTCTGTCTTCATGGGTTCTTTTAGGCTCTTCACCATCTTCACTTTCCCTGTGGAGAGCTCCACAAAGAGCACATTGGTTTGCACACTGGAGCTGGCAAAGATATTGTACTGATTGGCTTCAGTGAAAGAAGGCTGAAAGGTGGTATCTGAAATATGGAGGTTGGTATGTATCTCAAAACATTCCCGGATTTCCCCTTGAATGGTGATGGATTGAACTCTCATGAGACCCCTTTGATCATCTATACTAACCAAGTAATGTCCGTCTGGAGAAATATAAGGAACACCTGATATATCACCATTGTAGCCAATTACAGAATCAGTGACACTGTCAACTATGATTTGTGGTTCAGTTGCTCCTGTAATGCCCACACTGCAGTGAACAAAATAATATCCACCAAGGTGACTATAGGCAAGTGACTGTGGGACACAATTATAGTCTTTCAAACTGATGGTCTTAATATATGTCATGGTTTCAAGGTCAATTTTATGAAGGGCTGGTTCACCTTTGTGAAGAATAAATCCAAACCTGTAAATAAAGAAAAACATTGAATAAGTTCTTCCAAAATTGAATAAATATTAGATAAAATAATTAGCTGAAGCAGAAACTTCACAAAGGTACTTCAGTAAACTGTTCACATATGCATAATGATTGAAACCTGTAAAGGCCCCATAGCCACAAATGTTGTACACTTTAAGAGGTTAAAAACACACTGATCCTAGGAAGGGCTATTTAGTGTTTTCTAAGCCCGAGTAACACTGGAAATAAGAAAAATTATTCAAGAAATATTATCAAGAAATATTTCATAGATTGAAAGGACAATTGCAAGAACAATTTTGTTGTCCCACCTCTCCTTCCCATTACACTGCAATTGTTATTTCTCTTATATTATCTAATTTCCTTTTGAAAGCGACAATTGAATTTGCTTCCATTAGATTCTGAACAACAAACTGCACGCTGCAATTGCCAGATTTCTGCAGCTGTGGCTTGTGAGCTGTGGAGCTCCAACCAAGTTCTAACAGTTGCAAGCCTCCCTTAAATCACACAAATTGTTAAACAGTGGATGTGGCCTAACAGGCAAATCTGGTAGGCCTGAATTTTTACCAATACAAAACTAGGGAGACCTTGATAAAACAGTTTTGGTCTCCTGATCTAAGGAAAGCTATTCTAGTTCTGGAGGCAGTCCAGAGAAGGTTCACTAACTTAACTGGTTGATCCCAGGTACTGAGGAATGAATTGTCTGCCTATATTATGTATAAAAGTATTGCTAAAACTATACAAGGCACAAGTCAAATTGTGGAATATTGTGAACAGTATCGAAGGAAAGATCTACGTCACATATGAAGCAGTCCAGAGAAAATTCACTTGGCTGACACAAGGTAAGGGGAGATTGTCTAATGAGGGAAGGTCCAATGTTTAATGCATCATAACACTCAACACTGGAGCTTTCCAAGGATGCGTTCTCAACCCCCTATGTACTACTTGTACACCCACGACTTTGTAGCCAAATTCCGAACAAATGCCATTTACAAGTTTGCTAATGACACCACTCTGGACAACAATGAGAAAGCAGCAGTTGGAGGGCTTGGTGGAGTGATGGAATGAAAACAACCTCTCTCTTAATGTCAGCAAAACTTCAGAAAGAAATGAGAACAGCTCCCATCTACATCAATGTAGTGGAGGTTGAGAGGGTTAGAGCGTCAAGTTCCTAGGAATGGCAATAACTGACAACTTGTCCTGGCCTTCCACATAGATGTGAAAGTCAAAAGACTCAGGCAGCTTCTTCTTCTTCTTCTTCTTCAGGTAGCTCAAAAAATTTGGCTTGTCCCTCACCAACTTTTACAGATGCACCATAGAAAGCATACTGTCCGAGTACATAGCCTGTATGACAACTGGTGAGGGTGGTTAAAATTGAAAGAATGAAAGGATGCTGTAAATCAGGAACAAAAACAGAAGTTGCTGGAAAAGCTCACAGGTCCAGCATCTGTGAAGAAAAGTCAGATTCTCACCACCCTCTGACTATATTTTCCTCATAACACCTCTAAAACCTCCAGCCATTCCAGCCCCCGATCATTGATTCCTTCTACCAGAGGAAAGGATAGTGTCTATGACCCTCATAAATTTAGACATCTCAATCATGACCCTCCTCTGCTCCAAGGAAAATAACTGGGTCTCTCCAATCTTTTCTTGACTAAAACTCTTGAGCCCAGCAATAGTTTGGTAAATCTCTTCTGCACCCTCTCCAATAAAATCACATCCCTCCTATAATGTGGATTCTGAACAGTATACAATACATGCCTGACCAACATTTTATACAGTTCCAGCATCACCTCTCTCCTCTTAAACTCTATGTCTTGGCAGTATTCTAGATGTCTACTTCACCACTTTCTGTTCTGCTACATTAAGGACCCAGTGGACATGCACACCAAGATCTCTCCGATCCTCAGTGCTTTCCAGGGTTTCTGAATGTAAAAAGCTCTCATTATCTACTAAAAGCCTCCCTTTTTCACTTTATCAAATCCTGTATATTCCTTGATATCCAGGCTCCCAGGATTGTTGGTCCCACCCTTTGTCTTTTTTAGGATGTATTGACCCTATGCTCTCCTTATCTTCTTCTTGAATGCTCTACATAGAATTATCTAAATGTAAGTAGTCAGGCAGTTATTTTTCATAAAGTTCCCCATCCACTCTGGCCAAATTTTCCAGCATTTGGCCTGTATCCCTGTAAACCTTTCCTATTTAGGTACCTGAAATAACTGCACAGAGGCTGGGTCCCATCACCAAGTCACTCTTTATTTACCAGTGCACAGTCTGCTTGTGGCCAGCCAGTTCAGAGTCAGATCTCGAACTGAGAAGATTCTAATCTCTTGGTAATTTTATTTATTTTTTGTACCCAGGTGTGTGTAAGTGCGAGACACAGTAAAAACACCAGTAAAAACTTTACTGATAGTCCACCACCAGGAAGAACACCCATGTGACCAAAGAACAAGTAGCAAGCAGATCCCCTCTGGGGGCAATACCTATGTGAATCTCTTGGTTATACTGGTCAGCCAAGGCTTTCCTGATTGGAGTTGTTAACCTGGGCTAATCAATGAACCTTTTGTGGTTGCTGGTACCTCAGGGTAACTTTCTACTATTTGCAATAGATGTGTAAAATTAAACAACTGACATACCAGAGTTAATTCAATTATCCCATACCACCAGCCTCACTCAAAAGTAGTCCCTGTCAAAGAATCACTGTACAATACTGTAGCTCTGAGAGAGATCTACTTGAGCAAGGTTAATTCCTGGGAGCAAAGTATGACTGAACGTTTCCTGCCACTACCTCCTTCTTGACAAATTCCAGCAATTACATCTTCAAAAATATGCAAAATTTTCTTCACTGTATTTGTTACACTAAATATTTTGTTACACATAGGGAGTATATCAAAACAGGGCAGGAGATTCAGAATGGATGTGAGATTTTTTCTCACTAAGAGGAAGGAATCTGCCTGTAAGGGTGATAGAGGCAGAAACACTCATAACATTTAAGAAATACTTAGATGTGCACGCGGCACCAAGCATACAAGGCCAAGTGCTGGAAAATGGGATTAGCATAGTTAGATGGCATTTTTTGACTGGCGCAGAATCAATGGACACACCTACCTGATGTGATTAATGATGATAGTAGTAGATGGAATGAAAAAATCATCCACCCTGTCAAACTGCTTTCCAACTGGTTGAGTATGAACAGTGTGATGGGCTGCACTCCCACTGGCTTGATTAATTACCTGTAGAAAAAAACACTGAATGACATAGAAAATTTGCCCAGTACAGGCTCTTAAAATGACCAACAGTGAAGTAAAACTGAGACTTCTAATAACTTTTGTGGTTCAAAAGGCGGTTTTTTGTCCTGATGAATGACAGCATACTTAACTTGCTCTTCAACCGAAAAGAAATGCAATTTATTGCTGATTGTAAAAGATCATGTATATTTTCCCCTATTCTGTTTGTGGATCATTAAAAATTATGTACAGCTTTAGTACAAGCATGGTGCTATTGATTCTGAATCTCATCAATGATGTATCCTACAAATAAACTAGTTCAAATTCATTGCTTGACCTTTGAGATATATTTAAGGTTATGAAACAATAGTCATTTAAAAAAGCTTCATTTAGCATTACATAGATTATGAGACAGACAAGTGTCATTGTTATTGCTGAATGTTGCGTTGACAAAGTGATCAACACCTTACATTATTGGTCTAAATACTCATAATGTACAATTACTTCTGCATGTGTGCAGGTGTTGGATTACGGTAGGCAAAGTCACACAGCACCAGGTTATAGTCCAACTAGTTTATTTGACATTGCAAGCTTTCAAAGCACTGCTCCTTCATTAGGTGAAATGCAGGGAAGCACACAGGCACAGAATTTATATACAGAGATAATGGCAAGATAATTCCAGGTAATTAAGAGTGTCAAAAGATAAGCACAAATAGTGTGAGTGGAATGGCGACAGTCTTTGCAGGTGATTAGAAGTGTCAAACGGTGTGAGTAAAGTGTTAACAGCTGATTAGCAAATGACCTATGATCTGATTGATTAAGGCAGAGCTATAATTACAAAAAAATCAAAACTAAGATGGGACTAGAAACAAACCAAATTGCTAGAATAACATTATGGGTCTAAGAGTTGCACGACAAGGGCTGACCAAAGTAACAAATAATCAAAAACTGTACAAACTAACTAAGGTAGAGAGATAATAACTAGTTATCAAGGTGATAGTGTCAAAACAGAACAGTAGGGAAGATTTTACACAGAATGATTTGGTGGGGTTACATGTAATGTGACATGAACTCAAGATCACAGTTGAGGCTGTCCTCATGGATATGGTTGGTTTCTGCTCGGCAATTTTGCATTGTTGTAGGTCGCCTTGGAGGATGCTTACCTGAAGAATGTCCTTGACTGCTGAAGTGTTCCCCGACTGGGAGGGAACACTCCTGCAAAGCAATTATTACAAGGTATCCGTTCATCCATTGTATGGTCTGTATGGTCTCACCAATATATGCCTCAGGGCATCCTTTCCTGCAATGTATGAGGTAGACAACGTTGGCCGAGTCACATGAGTATGTACACACCGTGTACGTGGTGGGTTCTGTTCCCACATGTGATGGTAGTATCCATGTCGATAATATGTCTTGCAGAGGTTGCCATGGTAGAGTTGTGTGATGTTGTGGTTGTTGCTCTCCTGAAGGCTGGCTTGCTGTGAACAGTGGTCTACAGATAATCTTGCTTCACTTCTCCAGCTTCAAAAGAAGCTGAGAAGCTGAATTGAGACCTACTGATGTCCTCAAAAGAATGCTCATCAATTGCCAGCTCTGACGTGCCACAATGAAAAACTGCAACGACCTCCTCAGAAGACAGACACAAAACATTGCTGATACCATTCGTCGTTCAGTACTTCCTTGGAGCGGAGAAACCACATCTTTGTTCTTTGCAGCCTTCAACAAGTCATTGATGACGATGAACATCTCACCAAGGCCATCCCTATGTCTCCACTTCTCGCCTTCAAACAGCTGCCCAGTTTCAAATAGCTATCTAAACACTATCAAGTGTAAAATTGTTTAATTGGGGGATTTATGTGCTCTTGGAAACAATCCAGCTTTTTAAATATGTTTCTATGTTACTTGACAATAAACAGAGGTTCTCAATTATTCATGAACACATTAAAAGTTAGATTGCTTCCAAGGGACATAAATCTCTCAAACAAACAATTTGGCCCCAGATCCTAACAAATTTGAACTGATAAAGACTGAAAGAGCTTAAAAATTATTTTGCTTTTAAAACTTTTCCTGCCTTCACATGATTGGTCTAAAACCTGACAGCTGCTGAACCCTTATCACCTTGCAAAAGATCCAAAAGGTTTCCAGAGATGGGAGTGTTATTTTACTTTTTAAAAGATTCTCTCCCTTGACCTTGGGAAAACAAGAGAAAACTGGAAACATTGACAGGGTCTTTAGCCATTCTGCTCATTGGCCTTTTTCTTTGCTGTTCTATCTCCATGCCAATCTGATTCAGGGAAGTAAAATTTTCAGTCAGGCTGTGCATATACAGCCTGACTGGAAAGTTTAAATATTTAGAGGAGTCAAATCTTTGTTAGGTAGTCAATATGCAGCATTTACAGTAAACTCAACAATTTTGCTCACATTCACTGTGGGTAACAGCACTAATTACCCACAATTAGAATGTATATGTGTATAACTTGCAATTTTTAATGCATTGCTACCACCTCTTAATAAAATTGGCAGATCACAGAATATTGATGAAACATTTATTGTCAATGAAGTATACCTATTTTGATGCTGGAACTAAAAATACTTACTTGCAATGTTGGTGAGTTTTTTTCATCATCGCCCCAGCTAAGGAGCCAGACTTGATCATGTGATTTATCATAGTGAAGTTTCACTGGAACCGGATCAGTGGCTACAATCTGTAATGGAGAACGGAATCAAACTGCCATACAAGCTCTGAATTAATAACAAATAAAAGGTCCACATCATTTTCAAGAGTCAATAAAGATTTTTTTAGAGAACACAATCATCTAGTCAGTGGATGAGCACAATCACTGACTGTGATTTCAACTACCCACTTAATTCTTTATGTAGAAATTTGGAATGAAAGAGGTGGGGGCAAAAAAGTGGGCGATTGGGTAAACGTTTGCTCCAGATTGAGGCCAATGAAGGGCAAACTTTCATTGGTGAAATAAACCTGGAGTACAGTCACACATTTTTGAGACATCATTTAAGATGCAAACAATCCTTTAAAGGATTTTGAGGATTGTCTTCAGTTCATCGACTTACAGAATTTTTAATTCGACCTGTTACCCTTGGACAATTGCTCTGCAATATCGATTACTGCATGAAAACAAGCACTTCCTAGTTTGAAGCCAGCTTTGTGACACTTCTCTGAAACCGCTCCAATTCATGAACACCTATTTGAAAATAAACATAATGATACTCATTTTTTTCATGAGTGTGCTTATCTCTTTGAAATTTCTGGAAAAGCTCAGGAGGTCTGGCAGCATTTGTGGAGAGAAATCGGAGTTAGCATTTCATTCAAGTGTCCCCTCTTCAGACCAGTTCTGAGGAGGTGTAGCCTAGAACTTTTTGGGGAGCTAGGGTAATGATTGCTGGGCCCTTGGCTGAAATATTTGTATCTTGATTTCCACAGGTGAGGTGTTGGAAGACTGGAGGTAGGCAATGGTGCCTTATCAACTTCAAGCCCTGACAGCTTATCCAATAGCTCCTCCTTATCAATTTTAAGCCTTTCTATTGACTGAGCTTCCTCCAGCATCGCTATGTCCTGTCTCATAGGGTAAAGATATATGCCAAGTATTCATTTAACACCACATCCATATCTCCATGTATAGAATTCCCTTTTGGTCCCTATTTGGCCTTACATCTCCTTTTACACCCTTTGTATTAAGCATTACACTAAATGTATTCATGGGGGATTTTCAAACTCTGATTCAATTTTTAGACTAAATATTCCACAAAGGGAATAAAGAAAACAGAAAACAGTAAGTTCATGATAATACTTGTCACTACTCAGCCATCAGCAGTATATTGAATAAACACAAACTAATTATGCAATTACAATGAGAAACGAAGCATTTCAATGTTTTTGTTCAAATGCTTCACATGCATAAGAAAATTCATATACTATATTTAGTAAGTTCAAAAAATATTTTCACATGACTTCCCAAGTTGTTCATCAACCATTTATTTTATAAAGCTGCTTTATATGCAAATTTGAATATTTGATATTGTAAACCATGATTTTACTTTTTAAAGTACAAAAGTATGTTTTTATTCACAGACTTATTTAACTGACTGAGAAATGTAAAAGTAATAAAAACCTGAATTGCTTTCTGAGATTGAATATCAACTATCAGCACTCTGTTCAGCTTTGGCTGTGTCACATAGATGTACTTGTCTTTAATGTTCACAGCAGTAGCCCACACGCATCGCTGGATTGCTTCATTGTCAGCTTTGGGACAAACTTCATCCTAAGAAACAATATGGGAAAATCTCCAGTAAACAATTAAAACTAATATCAGATGAAATTTCAGTGTGAATATAGGAAACTCAAACTAAGGTTATCAAATAATAAAAATTCAAAAATGCTTGGGCAGCAGAAAAATAGTAGCAGCTATTTCACACTTTATAAATGTAACTGCATTTTACATTCCTTATTGAGTATTAAACTGATTAACTGGGCAGAATGTAACTTAGATGACAGGATTCTTAATAATGGCTGAAGAGCTGGCGAAAGCCCCTTTTCACCTCTTTTCAGGGAGGTCTGGAAAATTCAATGCCAATCAAGAACTTAACTGGCAGCAATGAGCCTTCCCTGGGATCAAGGACCCGAGGGATAAAGTCCAGCCTGCCAAGAACTGCCAGTCAATCACAGCTGCCAACTGGTGGGCCATACCCTTGCATCAAAAGAGTGGCTGCCAGTATTCACTTGCTGAAGTGGTGGGGGACACACCAACTGCTAGTAAAATACCACCAAAGGAAGCCCCAATTAGGTACACAAGAAAAGGGCTATTTCCAGAGGGAGCAAAATTGAACAAAGAACAAAGAACAAAGAAAGTTACAGCACAGAAACCGGCCCTTTGGCCCTCCAAGCCTGCACTGACATGCTGCCCATCACAACTAAAACACCCTACTCTTCCGGGGACCATATCCCTCTATTACTAGTTAGAACAAGATTGCTTCATTGGAGGCCTCCCTGATCGGGTCACCTAGCCTGGTGACAAAATGTCTGAACGAAAACAAACCGGCTCGGCAAGCAAGGCAGCAACCTCATGAAGAAAGCAAACTCTTTCTGGTTAAAGGAGCCATCCGTTTGATAGGTGAAGGTTGGTTGTGGTGGTGGTTGGGTGGGTGAGGGAAATGTGGACATTGAAATATTTAAAAAATACTTTGAGATACATTTTGTAGTCTTGTCAAAGATCTGGGCCAATGTAATTGGGAACAGTCAAGAATGGAGGTGGGTTGGTGATTTGGGCAGAAAGATGGTAGGTGGAGTTTAATCCAGAAAAATATGAGGTAATGCATTTTGGAAGGTCTAATCCAGATGGAAAATATACAGTAAATGGCAGGACCCTTAAGAGTACTGATAGGCAGAGGGATCTGGATGTACAGGTACACAGGTCACTGAAAGTGGCAACGCAGGTGGAGAAGGTAGTTCAACTCCGACGTCCAGAAATGGAAGCTGATTGTTGTTTTCTTCTTCTCTTGTGAATTTAATCCCAGCGAATACATTGTTGCTGAGGTTGTAGGTCTCTTCTGATTTGTTGCATTTAATAGGTGGATGACACATAAGGCCATCAGTTTAACTGGGACAATGTAATCACAGCAGCCCAAGCCAAACATAGACATTCTGGAGGCATGGTTTTCAACCCATAATGCAATCAACAAACATATAGAATTGGACCCCATATAAAAACTCACATAGAACAAAACTGGAAATGACACTACTCCATATAACAGACCAGAAAATATAAATTCCAAGCAGAGTAGAACAACATTGCTTCATCGGAGGCCTCACTGATGATGTTACCTAGCATAGTGATGAAACATCTGAACGAAAACAAACCAGCTCGGCGAACAAGTCAGCGACCTCACCCACAACCCGAGCTACAAATCTTTGCTAAAACCTTGCTTTCTTTATATTTCCATTCTTCTTTCTCTGCTCTCTGATAATAACTATGCAGCAAATAAATAAGCTCACATGAATGCTCAAATTTTTTAAGACTAACTTAGTGACATAATGAAAATTACTTTAACCTTTTCTAATTAAAGAAATGGTGGTACATTACTCAATATGTTTTGTGGCATACTTTTACTTCAAGCCACCATGTGTATTCAGTGTATAAGATAATAGCGCTTCTCCTACCATGGGAATGCTAAAAAGATTAATGATTCAAAAGCCTGCCATGCAATTGCTTTTCTAAGCATTGCATATATCCCAGCAGAGAAATGTTCCATTACAACAGTATTGCTGAAAAATAAATTCATATTAAGAATCATTGTTTTAATGGAATGTAAAATTAACAAATGGAGGACTCTAACTACAGTGTTGGAGGACTCTAATTTACAGTGCAGGAACAGGATATTTCCCAACTGCTCTATGCCAGTGTTTAAGTTTCTCATTGGCCTCCTTGTACTCCCCTTCATTGAACCTAAGTTAAAACATACATGTATTATAAAATACAAGCATAAGATTAAAGTTGCAATTGTCAACTTTATATATCAAAATTAACATAACTCAAAATATGAAGGCATTGAATGTTGAAATGAATTGTAAATCCCTACAGTGTGGAAGCAGGCCATTCAGCCCATTGAATCCTATCCAACCCTTCGAAGAGCATCCCACTCCCTGCAGTATCCCTGTAACCCTGTATTTGCCATGGTTAATTCACCTAGCCTGCAAGTAGTTTACATTTTAATTTATAGTGTTATCTACTATTAATGCAAACAGTGTGTAGAATTTAATGTTGCTTTCTATGATGAGTTTGGAGGCAAAATCAACTGGGAGGCTGGCTAAAGGGGAAGGTTGATGGATGGCTTTTCAGTCCTCTTGCCATTAATCAATTAATTTATACACTCTTAGGGACCTTATTGCACCACTTGTAGCATTGGCAAGTGAGACTGCCTACTCTTGACATAAAGACAACATTTAACCAGGTACGGTTTCAAAAAGCCCTGGAAAAACTTAAGTCAATAGGAGTCAGGAAGCAATCACTGATTGGAGTCAAAACCTAGCACAAAGGAAAATTGTGTGGTTATTGGGCATCAATCATCCCAGTCCCAGTGTATCACTGCAAGATAGTCCTGCAGGTAGTGTCCCAGGCCCAACCATCATTACCTGTTCCGTTAATGACCATCCCTCTATCATGCAGCCAGAAACGGCTAGCCTTTAGTTCAAAGGGAGTGGAATATTTTGCTAAAACTATACAAGCCATTAATCAGACCACAGCTGGAATACCGTGGATAGTTTTGGGCTTCTTATGAAAGGAAACATATATTGGAGGCAACAAGGTGCAGGGCTGGAT